ACTGAGACGCGCACCACTGGACCTGAGGTTGCTCCTCTCGATGCTCTTCTACACACAGATGTTCATCCTCTCGAGGACATCTTTGCTCACGCCAGTGACAATCCTTTAGATGTCACTGATGGCCCCTCAGGTATTCCATCTTCCTACCCTTTCTTTTCTTCTAACCTTAAGCCTTCTGCTCACACTTCTTCTTTTGCAGGTCCTTCTTCGATGCATCAGTCTGATGCTCAGGAAGTGGAAGAGGAAGAAAGAGAGAAAGATGATGGAGGAGATGAAGAGATTGATGATGCCTATGATATGGCATCAGACATCAAACTTCTCTTTCCAGCCATTGATACCGTCCTCTACAGGATTAATGAAGTTCACCAAGAAATGCCTCGCCAGGGTGATCTTGATGCGAACTTCATTGCCATCCAGGCGGAAGTTCAAGAAGTTCAGAGTCATCTCCAGACTCTCCAAGAAGCTGTTCAAGCCAACACCGATGCCATTGTTGTGCTTCACAGTAGGGCTGACGATGCTCATGCTATCGCTGATCAGCATACTGGTCTTCTTCAACAGATTCTGGATGCTATCCGTCAACCAGCTCCAGCGATCCCACCTTCTTTCTCTGCCAGTGATCGCGCCTAGCTCCATGATACGTGTGAGGCAACGAAAACTCTAGCCAGTGCTTTGCAAAGGCTAGAGGAAATATTGGTTCTCCAACATTAGCGCTTGGACGAACTATTTGGCCAATTCTCTCAAGTCTTAGCCAGAGAGGGGGAGATGAGGTATAAAGCTGGTGAATCATCTGATGCTGTGCTTACGCCTTCTCAGGCTGTTGATCCAGTATCAGCTTCAGTTGCAGTTGAAGCTGAGRCTCTCAGAGCTGAAGCGGTTGCTACTCCTGTAATCCCGACCACCAAAGCTGCTCCAGCTGAGGATGTTGATGCCATCCCTAGGGATGATGCCCATACCATCACTACTGCTGGTGATGATGATGATGATGAAGATGATGATGATGAAGACGATGATGAACCTAACATTCCTGACCCCGGAAGTGATCTAGATGGCGACGACGACGACGATGATGAAGATGACTTTATCATCAAGTACCAGAAGCCATCAACCGTCACCAAGGGTCTTGCCCTCAGGGATTCTGCATCCCAGGGGGAGCAAAGGCAAGGTGAATCGACTCCATCAGGGAACCAGGACCCCAAGTCGAATGGCAAGGCGGTTGCTGAAGGAGGAAACTTGAAGGTATTTTTCAATATCCCTCAACAACCTTTCTTTGAAGACTCTACCTCTCAGGTAGTGATTACTTCAAAAAATCAACTTCATATTCCATCATCAACATGCGATCGACTGGAGCGGGTACCTGATCAACCCATCTCTTATGCTCCTACCGACTAGCAGATGTCTCAGCTAAAGGATTCACTCGACCAGACTAGAGTAAGAATCCCTCTTCGTACCTCTAGTGGTGGTGAGTTCGACTTCCTATCTGAAGCTGAAAGACTCGAGGCATTAAGGGCTGAAGAAGAGCTAGAGCTTCAAAAGAAGTAGACTGAAGACAGCTTGAAGCTGGCCAAGTCACTAGCTGAAAAAGTCCTTCCCAAGAAAAAGTCCAAGAAAACGGTGAACGTTGTCGAAGCCCAGGCTAAACTTCTTTCTATTGTAGAAGCTGAGCATGAGAAGAACCTGAAGCTAGCAGAAAAGGACAAGCGATGGAGTGAAGCAAAGTTGAAAAAGCGAGTCAGTCCCCGCCCGATTATAAGCGTCAGCATCAGCGGACATTCTAAAGATGGTGGAACGCTGGTCTCAATGCTCATCACCAGGGACATCTTGATGCCGTTACCGAGTACCCTTTCTACCTTGGCCATTATGGATACAACAAATGGATGGAGATCAGACAAGCCATTCAGCAATCCAAGTCGAGACACAAGACACTTATCAAGGACACCATCAGCAAGCTCATCAAAAGGATGTCCAGGTATGTCAAGGTCCTTGACAGGCCATCTTTGAAGAAAGGTGGGAAGAAGAAACTCAAGCTCTCTGATCCTAATGATTGACCTTTCCTAAGGAACGAACATGAAACAAGGTTCTCCTTAGATGACGTCCTGAAGGATTGTGAAGTCCAAGATTCATACAAACATGATAAGATCTTCAAGAATCAAGATGAATAGAATAGTAGAGAGAATATCATCAAATGTTGATTTGATTGAGAGAGAGAAAATTACAGCTCAAAACTTGATTACAATCTGCTAATTACTTGGTAATGACAATTACAATGAAAATACTATTTATACTAGGAAATAGTAAAGCTACACTATTACAAAGTAAAATACATTAAGGAGAAACTTGAATACACTATTAAAGCTCTTACTCAAACCCAACATTCTCCCCCTTTGGATTCAAGTTTGGACTCTTGTAAATTTCGTTTTTCGAAGTCCAAGAATTTTCTCTAGTCTTTTCAGAGCGTTCCTGTATTGGATTTTCTCCTCGAGCAAATTTATCGCATTGACCAACAAATATCTTTCCTTGGAACTCATCCTTTCTGATTCAGCAGCTCTGTCATTGTTTACCCTTTTCAAGTCAAGTGCCCTTCTCACTAATCTTATCGTACCATCAGTGTAACACCCCCGTCCCGCGTGGTCAAAGACGGGAGATGCCACAATTGGGATAAAAACAACGCGCTATATAAAAAGAGCAACTAATAAAATTTACCAAAAGATAATTACATAACCATAGATGGAGATAACGTGTCTCAAAATACGGTCCCAAAATACCAGTATGTCTACATAGTCATAAAAAATTTAACAAAAGTATGACTTAATGAGTTATCTTCAATATTGTCATTTCCGTAGCTCTCATCCCAAAATCCCTGCTAAGTCATGTACCTGCCGAGGACAAGAAAATCTCGGYTGAGYTTAATGCTCAGTGAACGGATAATAATAATTAAACAATGAATATGAGATAACAAGTTCAAAAGCAATTTATAAAGCCAAGTGATAATCCAAAAGAAAGTCAAAATGCCCCAAAAGCATGTCAAGGGTCCGTAGACCAAACCGCATCACGAGGACGCATTGTTCCCAAAGGATGATCAGTCCATTCAGGCACAAGTGAGGAAAGGGGTGTGAGCACAACACATCAATCCTCTCCATGAATTTAACCACGGCCACAATTCAATATCCGATAACGGTTCCTAGGATCGATCCACACGCACTCTATTCGACCGGTACATAATCAAGTCCACTTTTAAGGACTATAAAAATAAGGACGCCATGATCGTTTTTAGTCACCATGGAAACATCTCAATAACGGTGCTCCAGTTATTGAGTCTATAATAAAATGTTTCACAAATGAAGCAATAAAACAAGTCAAGTGATCAAAATTATCCATATTCTGAATAAGAATGTAAGTCGTAGTTCAAAAGGAAACAAAGTTCAATAAGATTTGATAAGCATAAAGGAAATTCAAAACAAATTATTCGGAATTTATCACAGATTATCTGGATTAGGAAGCCTTACGCAAATGGTTATCCCCATGTCAAGTGAGATATGAAATCCGTACCTTAACTGAATTTGACAATTAACGCACGATCAAACGGAAATTCATGATCAAGTTTGATTTGCCTGGGTGCCTAACGAATGTATAAACGGGTTACTATTTTTAAAGCATAGAAACCATAATATAACTATTCTAATAAATTTACATAGGTCTTAATCTACTTAAACAACGTAGACTTCAAGAAGAACAGCTGGATACGAATTGAAAACTCAAACGTAAAACTTAACCTTATTCTCTTTCGATCCAACCGCTTCTGTCTCTCTTATTTCTAAGCATATTTACCTTACTTAGAGACCAATCCAGATTATATTTTCTAAATGAAAGTTGTAGATTGGTATCATACGAGTCTATTTCTTTTGAAATCATCTCATTTGGATCATCCATCTATTTTAAATGAATTTTACAAAACTGCAATATAATCCCGAATACAGTGTAAACAGCCCCAAAAACACACTGTTTCGAGCCACCTAGAATCATAACTAGATTGTCGACCCTTCATGAAAGTTGTAGTATGCAGTAAGATCTTTCTGTCTGCAAAATACAAGCTTATTCCGACTTACGGTTTGTGAGTTATACACTATCAAAGTACGGGAGTTACATTGTCGGTAAAATTCGATTCCCTAATTCCCGACTAACTTTCATGATCCAACTTTCATGATTTGTTATATTTACATGCTATAAACGTACTTCAACATACTAAACAGTAAAACAAGTCCAATGGTCGTTGACCTAAGCTTAATCATGCATTTTTACTCCTTCCGACATTTAACCGAACAATTGGTGTATGGTTAAACATTTACCCACAATCTAACCATATTGAAGCTATAATATACACTTTTTATTTCTACATCAATATAACCAGTACTAGCATCCTAAACATCAAATATATCATAATTTTGACAATATCAATCCGTAAACTTAGATATAAACACAGTTTATAAACTGGTCTAAATAACCCTAACATAAACACCTTAATAAAATTGAATGAAATTTATACCTTTAAGAAGGGTTCGTTGAGTGGATTCCGAATATATAATTGTTACTTTGATCCTCTTACTAACTCGACGTAAAATTCAAAGAGAAAACGAGGGATTTTTTTTAGAAAGAGAAAAGAGATGAGAGATTGAGACGGTTTGTAAACCGCCTCATCCATTCATGTATATATATATATATATAT